ATATGTATGGTTTTTAGCAGGTAGAGGCAAAGGGTTGTAGCCTTAATTAGACTGGGGGTGCTGTGGCCTGAATTAGGGCAGGGCTGTGCAAGTGATGAGGCAATAGTAGGGGACAGGCTGGAGAGGTGTTTTGAGGGGAAATCAGCCCTGAGGATGAGGGTTGAGGGTGACCACTCCCCACTCCCACCCTGTTCAGGAACACAGGGGGACAACTGGGACCTGGAGTGTTTTGTTTGACCCCCAAAGTATTTTTTAACTCGAGTAAACGGTATGCCCATACAAGGAAACCCTGCGTAGCCATAAAAAAGAATGATGGATCTCTTTAAGTATTGTTATGGAATGATTTCCAAGATTTACTGTTAAGTGAAAAAAGCAAGGCACAGGAAAAATAGTATACTACCATTTCTGCAAAGGAACAAAAAAATGAAACCTTTTCAATGTGTTTCTATTCAATTTCCCATAAAAGTCTAGATTTCTTTTGAAAATAGAAAAACCTGACAGTCCTGGGATGGCCTCCGTTGGCCAGAGGACACCAGCAGCAGCCCCCTAGTTGTTCAGTTTGCCGCAGTCCCCACCACTCCTCATTGTCTGCCTGCCCAGCGGAACTCCTTTGCTCACGGACGTTACTGTAGGCATCTGGGGTTGTGAGCCACCTTCTGGAACTTGGCAGCCTTCCTCTTAGTCCTTCATCTCACCTCTGGCCCTCAGCCTTCAGCTGCCGCTGACCCACAGACCTATCCTGGGGGAGGGGAGGCCAGCACCCTCTTGGGCTTCCACTCACAGTCCCTCCTCCTCTCTCAGCTCCAGCGGTTCAAGCGCTCGCTTTCCCTCAAGACCATCCTCCGAAGTAAGAGCGTGGAGAACTTCTTCCTTCGCTCAGGCTCTGAGCCCAAGTGCCCCACCGAGGTGCTGCTGACACCGCCAACCCCACTGCCCCCTTCCTCCCCACCACGGGCACCCACAGACAGGGGCCTGCCCACCCCGGCACCCTCCCCCTGCCCCGTCCCACGTCCCCTGGCATCTCTCAAACCAGTGAGGCTGCACAGCTTCCAGGAACATGTCTTCAAGCGAGCCAACCCCTGTGAGCTGTGCCGCCAGTTCATTGTAGGTAGGTGCCTGAGGCGGGCAAGGTGATGGGCCAGGGTGGGCATGGGGAGTTGGCCTGTGGAACTTCCTGATATTCATGGCTCCCAGTGCTCACTGTGCCCCTCACCCTGGGCAGACAAATGAGCTCTGTTGGGGTGAGGGGTGCCCAGTCCTGCTGCATTTACTAACAACTCAGGCTTCAGTGCAAGTTCGCACCCTGACTGGACGAGGGGTAGATGCTAGTCCCGGAGACTGGTCCCCTACCCTCTCCCCACCCCTCACCTGCCTCCTTTGCTCCATCGCCCATGGGTGTGTCCTCTCTTGATCAACCTCCTTTTCTGAACCCAAATTCTTCCCAGGAAACTCCAAGCAGGGCCTGCGGTGTAAGACATGCAAAGTCAGTGTCCACCTCTGGTGCTCCGAGGAGATCTCCCACCAGCAATGCCCAGTCAAGACGGTGAGTGGAGATGGCCGGCGGAGAGCCCCCAGAACCAGCCTGTGGGGGATGAGTACCCCTCAAGGCTGCTTCCCCATGTGGAGGTGAGGAAGATCCATTACTCCCTGGGCTGTGACATCCTCACGCCCTCTCTCTGCCCCCTCTTGCCGTAGTCCTCCTCCTTCCGTCGCAACTTCAGCTCCCCCCTCCTGGTGCATGAGCCGCCACCAGCCTGTTCCACAAGCAGGGAGTCCCCGCCCACTGGTGAGTATCCCCCTGTTGCTCCTGATCCCGCTGTGGGGTGTTGAGCAACCCATGCATTCCTCATCTGGGCACCTGTGTCTCACGGGCACTGCCAGTTCTTGGCACGGCTTCCACCTCCCTTCTGTGGGTGCTCCTGTCCTGCATGTAGGGCTCCTTCATTCACTCATCCGTCACCAAAAACTTTACTGAGCACCTACTGAGTGCCAGGCATTGTGCCAGCCACAGGGACATAGCACTGAAGAAGATGAAGTTCATGGTCTGTAATAGACATGAAATAGATAATCACACCAATTATCAATGAGTCATCATTCAGATGAATGCCTAAAACAAGGATAGGAAATAAAGAGAGGAGAAAGCAGCCACCGTCCTCAACCATGGAGACTGGGAAAGGCACTGGGAGAAGTGAAGGGTGGGGAGCTAGTCCACTGAGGATCTGGGGAAGGCCAGTGTGGGCAGAGGGTGTGGCCTGAGGCGGGAAGGGGCAGTCACAGAAAGGACAGCATGGCTGGGACTGAGGGAGTGAGAGTGAGAAGGTGGGACAGGGCCATGGGCCCAGGGCCTTGGGGTCCATTTTACGATTGTTCTTTGGACTTTGTTCTAAGGACACTTTTTGTGTTTTTACAAGGGCATTCTGGCTGCTGTGTGGATTGGAGGGGCCGGAGTGGAAGCAGAGAGAGTAGTGGGGAGGTTGTGATGGTTGCCAAGAGAGAGTTTGGGAGCTTGGAGCAGACTGGTAGCGGTGGAGATGGAGGGAAGCGGGCAGATTCTAGAACATTCGGGAGGTAGGACTAAGTGACGGAGTGATATGGGCAGTGAGGAGAGTGAGGGGTCAAGGACGCCACGGTTTCTGCATGGGCTCCATGGGAGGAGGAGGGAGAATGGGGAGGGCAGATGAGGGGAGACCGGAGTTCAGCCAGGGCTGCGGTCCAGGGCTTCAGGGGTGAGCGAGGCCGGCAGCTGGGTGCCTGGCCTCGAAGGTGGATCGTTGGCAGGCGCCAGCGGGAAGGTGGACCCCGTCTACGAGACCCTCCGCTATGGCACCTCCTTGGCACTGATGAACCGCTCCAGCTTCAGCAGCACCTCCGAGTCCCCCACACGGAGCCTGGTATGGTGGGCACCAGAGGGGAACCGGGGGGCAGGGGTCTCTGAGGAGGGGGGTCCAGGGGCTGAACCCTTCCCTCTCTCTGTCCCCAGAGTGAGCGGGAAGAGCTGACGGAGGATGGGGAAAGCAGCATCCGGAGCTCCGAGGAGGGCCCTGGCGACAATGGTGAGTGGAGGTTAAGGCCCAGGGGCAGGAAGGGGTCACAGTGTCACAGCGCGGTGGCTTCCTGCTGCCTCACACCCTGTCTCCCGCCCCTGGCACCTGCAGTGTTCACAGCCCCGGCAGAGAGCGAAGGGTCGGGACCAGAGGAGAAGAGCCCTGGACAGCAGGTGAGGTGATGCTGGCACCAGCCCCAGGAGGCCAGGTGGGGAAGGAATGTCACTGACCCACAGGTGGGTGAGAACAGGGTGAGTGGGAGGGTCACTGCTCCATCATTTATTCTCAGTCTACAGTCTACAGGGTGGGCCGTGCTAGGGGGAGTGGTCACAGGAGGCAGGGGTATTACCCTCCCACCACTCACCCAATGCCTATTGCTCCCACTCCTGTTTCCCCAAGGGTGGGCAGTTTCAGGGTGCAGAAGGCAGCACAGTATCCCCCTCTCCGTCCTGGCCCAGCACCCCCTGGGGTGTGTGAGCACAGCAGATGGGAGAGGCTGACCTCTCCTTATCCTTGACCCAGGAGCCTGTGTCCCACCTCCCAGCCCCCAGGTAGCAAGGTCAAGGCCAGTAGGTGGAGTGAAGAGGGTATGGCCCTCCCATCACTGACCCAGAGCCCTCCCACAGCCCCCCAAGCACCCGCTGCGGAAGGACGTGGGCCCCATGTACTCCTATGTTGCGCTCTACAAGTTTCTGCCCCAGGAGAACAACGACCTGGCTCTACAGTAAGTCCTCCTTGTGCCCAGCCCCCCCGGGTGGCCGCCTGGCTCCAACCTCAGGGCTCTGCACTCCCAGACCTTGGGACACGAGTGTGAGGGGCCCTTCAGGAACCTTCTCCTGGCGTACTTGAGGCTGCTGAGCCCAGAGAGGAGCGGAGCTGCCCCGGGTCCAAGAGGGAATTGGTGCTGATGGCATGGCTCCTGCCTACACCCCAGCTCTGTCCTGGCCAATGTCTGCTGTCCCTGCGGTCACACAGTGTCCCCCTGTTGAGGGCATCAGGAATCCTCCTTCAGCTGAGGGGGGCATGCAGGGGATCTGGGGTCCAGGACTGTGGGGATGCAGAGGGGGCAAGCCCACCCTGCCCCATATGCTGCCCCCGCTCTCTCCTCCCAGGCCTGGAGATCGGATCATGCTGGTGGATGACTCTAACGAGGACTGGTGGAAGGTGACTGGGCAGGGTGGGAGACGGAGGGACCCTGGTAGGCATCTCGCCAACCTCTGCCCTCAACGGGCACTGCCCCACCTTCTCTCCAGGCCCCAAAGACCACTCCTCCTCCAGCCACTGGCTCCAGCCAAGCCCGGGACCAACCCTCAGACCTTGCTCTTGCTTTGACACCCCCCCCTCCCCAAGCCGCCCCAGCTCTGTCCCTCTGCCCACCTAATGCCCTTCCCAATGCAGAAGCCACCTGACTGGGGGCTTGAATACAGAGAACCCAGAATCTGGCATTGGCTCTCAGTGGTCACTGGGTCTAGAGAGAGCAGTGGGGGTGGGGGGGGTGGCACTGGTGCTCATGCCAGCCTCATCCCCAGGGCAAGATTGGCGACCGGGTTGGCTTCTTCCCAGCCAATTTTGTGCAGCGGGTGAGGCCGGGCGAGAATGTTTGGCGCTGCTGCCAACCCTTCTCCGGGAATAAGGAACAGGGTTACCTGAGCCTCAAGGAGAACCAGGTGAGTGCCTGGGCCCTGCAGCGGTTACAGGAGGTGGGACTGCGGGCCCTCTAGTCCTCTCCTGCTGGGACTTGGTGTTGGTGGCCACAGGCAGGGGCCTGAATTACAGGAGAGACAGCTTTGGGGAGAAGAGGAGCACTGGATTAGGAGTCCAGAGGCTTGGGGTTGAATGGTGGCTCTGCCTCTGGCTTGGTGTGTAACCTCAGACAAGTTCTGTTCCCTCTGTGATATGGCAGAGGGGCTGCGTTAGACCAGATCTCAAAGTCAGCCGCAAAGTGCTGCTCTGTGTCTGCTGATGTCCTGGTCTTGCTGCTGCACCCTAGACCCTTATGGGATCTGCTCCTATCACCCCAGCTGAGGTCTCCAGCCACATCTGATGCCCGTTCCCTCATTCCCGGGAGCGGGCCCCCTGGGAGCCATCAGCAGGACTCGGGGCCAGGGCTGCAGGCAGTGCCAGGCCTGAGCTCCGTGTCTCTCTGGCTCAGATCTGTGTGGGCGTGGGCAGGAGCAAGGATGCTGACGGCTTCATCCGCGTCAGCAGCGGCAAGAAGCGGGGCCTGGTGCCAGCCGACGCCCTGACCGAGATCTGAGAGGAGCCAAGAGAACCCAGATGCCACCCCTGCCTGTGCCTGGCCCTCGCTTCTGGTCCCGGGAGGGGAGCAGGCATCTGCCCACACTCTTCCTCCCTCTGCCTCTCTCCTGGCGGCCATTCACCATGGCTTGGGAGGCTTCTGCACTGAGGAAGGTTTCATTTCTTGGGTCCCACGGTGTCCTGAGAGATGTGCTCCTCTGGGACTTGGGGATGGGGGTGGAGGAGAGAATAGGGGGATGGGGAAGCTTCCAGGTAGGACCACCCCGTGCCCAGGCACCCCCAGTCCAGTTGCCGTGCTGAGCCCAGCCCTGAGGGGCATTCTTGGGGGAACGTCCCTGCTGCTTCTTCCCCAGAGCCTCCCTGTGCCCACACCAGCTTTGCATGACACGCCCTCTCCCGCGGAGCCTCTGCTTGGGTCTAATTGTGTGCGGCCCCGCCACGGCCACGCCGCCCCCGTGGCAGTGAGTGCCTTCCCGGCCTCTCAGCCTCTGCCCCAAAGTGCTGCCCTGTGTCGCTGACAGACGGGGTGGGAGGGGATTCATTCGGGGCCACGGGAGGGTCCTGAGTCCATCTCCTGGTCTCACTGCCTCTGTCACTCCATCAATTCTCAGGAAAGTCCTGCAGGAACCTCTCCCATTACTTGAAATCTGGGCGGACAGAGGAGGGGAGGGCTGAGGGCGGGAGGATGTGTGGCACATCAGAGACTGTCCCCTGGAGAACAGTCACCACAGAGCAGCCGCACCCTAACCTACCCTGGCTCACGGGAAAAGGACAGCCAAGAGCAACCTGAACACAGAAACCCGACTGAGAACAAAACACCCCCCTTTCATTGTCAGGACACGAAAAGCCCCCCAGCAGCAGGACCCAGCAGCCAGGGGCGCCGGACAGGAGGCCCCAGGAGCCCCAGCCTCAGGGCTGCCTTCCAAACGGCCTTCCTCACCCCTCTCCCTGCGCTCTGCAGTGAGGGTCCCTTTCTGGCTGCATTTGCTCCCTTGTCCTGGACACAGAGCCCAGGGAGGAAGAGGGCGGGAGCGGCTGGGAAGGTGGGTGGTGGTGTGGCCACCAGGAAAGGCAGGGAGAAGGCACCCCGGGCGGGTGGGCACACTGAGATGAACACTCCCTCGCAGGTTGCTTTTCTCTGGTGCCAGTTTCCCTCTCCCCCCAGCTCAGAGCCTCCTCTAGTGTCCTTGATCCTTGATCGTGCCAGCTGACGCCACCCCCACCCTGGGCACAGTCATGCCCTCCCATGCGGTGGGAGGGACACGTGGTCTTACCCACTGGCCCCTGCCCCACGTCTCCCCCGCCCCCCGCAGAGGGGGACTCAAGCCACACTGCCCTGTTTGCTGCCTTGAGGCCCCTCAGCAACACCCCAGGGGCGGCCCGTTGCCCACTGTACATCCGGCTGCATGACGGTCTGCTGGGGCACCGCCAAGCCCCGGGACCCTAATTAAACGTTTCTTGTCCCAGCCGGTCTGCTCTGTGTATCTGCTTGGGAACGAGGGAGAAAGGGGAAGGGCGTGGGGTGGGGGCTGGGAGAGCTGAGAGGAGGCCGGCCGAGGGTGCTGATCTCTGGGAGGGGTCCCTGAGCCTCTCCCCCCCCCCCTTCCGCTCGAGCAGCCTCAGCGGGATCGGGAGGCGTTTGAGAGAAGGGGCTGCGGAGAGCCAACGCGGAGAAGAGGGTGGAAAGGACCCCAGGAAAGGGGGAAGCAAGGTTTGGGGGTGCGGGAGGGGGAGCGGGCGGGGCTGCGGCCACTTTCCGGTTCCCCGCGCACCTGGGTCGCGCAGGGGGCGGCACACACCTCCTCGCGCCCGGCGGTGCCCTGCGAGCCCGGGGCCTGCGGGGTTCAGTGTCCACCCGGGACCAGCCTGGCCCCCGCAGCCTCCCGAGTCCGAGGTACACACGTTGGCGGCGGGGACCGTCGCGGACAGGGGGGCCCTGAGATGACTCAATCGGGAGCCTGGCACGGAGATCCCCGCCCACCTGCGCCGGCAGAACAGCACCCCCCCTGCCCTGCGGGCGGCCGCGTCACGGGGAGCACGTCCCGGGCTATTTATAGGCGGAGGGGAGCGGGGAGACAGCGGGAGGCGGGCTGTGGGGGTGCCGGGACCTGCTGGGGTGCTGCAGGGCGGGGGACCTGCTCCCCATGGGCACGCCCCTGGGTCCGCTCCCCGGCCCCCCGCCCCCAACGCAAGGTGGGCCAGGTGGGACCCGGCCCTGAGCTTTCTCTGGGCCCTTCACCCAAGGAAGGGCCTCAGGGCTGGTGGGGAGAAGGAGGAGGACCCCTGATGGTGGGAGGGGAAAAAGGGGTCACACATCCAGTCCAAAGGCTTAAAGAGAGAGCAACTCGCATAATAGGCACCGACTGTGTTCCAGGAACCAAGCCAGGAACTTGATTTTATTTAATCTTGTCAATGACCCGATGAGGAAGGACGGAGAAGGGGAGGCCCAGAGAGATAAGGTGGCTTCTCCAAGGTCGTGGGGATGATCCTGGTGAACCGGGTCCCTTTTGTTCCCCCGGGAAACTGAGGCCCAGATGGACTAGTAACTTGTCCAAGGTCACCCAGCGGCATAGAGTCAAACCCCTGAGAAATCGAATCTCTTGCCAGTCGGCTCTTCTCCCACTGGGCCCTGGGTCTCGGGGTGCCTTAAACCAGCAAGATGGAAACAGAGACACCCCAGATGCTGGGCCAGGGGCTCCAGGGATCAAGACCCCACTCCACTGGAGACCGTGGGAGCCTTCAGCCAACCCTCCTGCACACCCCACTCGCATCTGCCACCAGCCAGCAGCTGGCCTGGACCCAGGCCTCCTCCCCAGCCCATTTGCCGCACTGCTGAGCACAACAGCTTTTTCGGGTGGCTGAACCACTGACAGCATGCTCACAGCCTGAGGGCCGGGAACAGCTGGTGCCCTCACTATAGCCTCTGCCTTCCTCTGTGCCCACTCAGTGGGTGGCTGGACCAGCAGCGCCGTTGGCCTGGGGCAGAGAATGCCCAGGAAACTGCTGGTGGTGCCAACCCACCATTTGGCTCTGTTGTCTGACCCACATGTGCCCTGCATCCTCCCACCTCAGCCTGAGTTTAACTGTGTGGGGACAGAGGTTGCCTAGGCTGAGGAGAGATGCAAAAGGAGGGGGAGGCTGGGAGCCAGAGACAGGAGAGGCCTAAAAGGGTAGAGAGATGGATACCCGAGGTGGGAGGAGGGGGTCACAGAGTGAGCCTCTCTGTCCAGTCCCGCCCGTTCTGCCAGCACCAGCCACTCCCTTTGGTCCCTTCAACCTTCTTCTCCGCCCCGCCCCACCATGCCCATCTCTCCCAATGCCTGGGACAGGCGGGGTGGGACACCTGCTGAGGAGTGCTAGGAAGACGGCAGTGCACTCCCAGCCTCAGCCCTCCGGTGCTTGCAGGGAGCCGCCCTAGGCCGTCCCTCTCTTAGCATCAGAGAGCACTGGGAAGAGGGACCTGCACCCCTTTTCCAGCTCGTGGCTCTGCAGCTGCCACTGTGCGCAGTACCTCTGCTGCAACCCACTCTGAGTCACACCCTCCCACGCCTGGAGACTCAAAGACGGGTGCTTGTGTTCATGCAATGCTGAGATCCTGGGGAGCAGCTGGCCCCTCTGGGCCTCGGTGTCCTCCTCCAGAAACGGAATTGCTCAGGGAATCTTTACCTGGGGTCAATGAACCCCTTTAAAGGGTATGCAAATTATATAAGGGGACCAATTGTATATGCTTGAGAGAATGGACATCTTTTTTCATCAGGATTTCCTAAGCTTCCAGACCTAAAGAGATCCAGGGGTGACTTCAGGGGTTCTGCTTGCCGAAGGGCCTTCCCAAGCACGGCTCTGGGAAGGGGCTAGAGGCCCATGGTGCAAAGAGGTAACTTTCCAGGCCGGGGTGAGCTTCAGAAAGAAGGCACTAGGGGGCTGGGTAGTGGAGGATGGTGTAGGGAGGATAAATGGTGATGGAAGGAGACTTGACTTGGTGTGGTGAACACAATACAGTGTACAGATGATGTGTTGTGGAATTGTGCACCTGAAACCTATATGATTTTGTTAACCAGTGTCACCCCAATAAATTCAATAAAAAAAGAAAAAAGGAAGTAACTAAACCCAAAACTTCTCAAGAGATAGGCTCCCACAACCCATGACCCTTCCCTTCCTGGCCAATCCTCCCCACAACCCAAAATGTGAGGCAGTTTTCTGCAACCACCGGTGAGAGAACAGCACCATCTCCTGGTCCAGGGTAGAAACCGGTTTCTGTGCTGCAAGCAGGAGCCCAGGTGCGGGTGCCATGTTTGTTGCCATAACCTCCTTTCTGTCGCTCTTTAACTGCCTGAAGGGAGTGGAGGTGGAGTGGCCTCCAATGGCCTTCCTCCTCTGGTCCATGACTGGGAAGGGGTCCCATACTCCAAACTGAGAGCTTGTCCAAGGCCCTCCCCTTCTAGGCCACAGCTTCCCCACTCAGGATGACAAAGGATTGGAGCAAGAGCTAAAACATGAAGTGCATACAGGCTGCCACAGTAGCAACAGGGAACCCTCAAATTAGTGCTCTCGTCCCAGGCTCTGATGCACGTGGGTGGTGGAGGTCCTCTGGACATTTCTCACTGGATCTGGGCTTCCCTGCCTTGGGCCACGCACTTCCCCCATCTGGTCGAGACCGGGCAAGGACAGTCGAGGCAGAGCTGGAGAGGGGTCTGCTGTCCCCAAGACCACTTTAGCCCTGCCTTTCCCAAGTGCAGATGAGAATGTCTGCCAAGTACACCCCCTGAAGGCCAATTGGCTTTGTATTGGTCCCCCCAAAACAAAAATTCCTCAGGAGAGGGGTGGAGGACTGGGAGGTAACTAGCTAGGGCAGCGGTTCTCAACCTGTGGGTCGCGACTCCTTTGGGGGTCGAACGACCCTTTCACAGGGGTCGCCTAAGACCATCGGAAAACACATATAATTACATATTGTTTTTGTGATTAATCACTATGCTTTAATTATGTTCAATTTGTAACAATGAAAATACATCCTGCATATCAGCTATTTACGATTCATAACAGTAGCAAAATTAGTTATGAAGTAGCAACGAAAATAATTTTATGGTTGGGGGTCACCACAACATGAGGAACTGTATTAAAGGGTGGCGGCATTAGGAAGGTTGAGAACCACTGAGCTAGGACATATGTCCATATAAAGGAGGTGGCCCCATCTATGCAATCTTCCTCCCAACCCAGACTTCTTCCTCATCCGATATTTAACTGGCTGACTGACATCCTCCACCTGGACCTCTGTCCCGCAAACTGCCACCCACTCAATTTATCTAAAGCTCAGCTCTTCTAGCCCTTCTCCCCACCTCAAATGGTTCCTTTTCATCACTAAAGGAATCCCCTGCCAGTCCTCCAAAGCTCAAGGCCTTAGGACCACCCCAGACTTCTTCCTCAGCCCCCACAATCAATGTATACAAAGCTGTTTCACTTCCTAAATATCTTCAACCCACTTTTCCCACCCCAACACTGTATTAGCTTTTTTTTTGTGAATCCAAATGTCTGCAAAACAAAGACAGTAACAACCCTACTTGAAAATGTTGCAAAGACTAGAATCAATGTTAAAGTACTGGGCTCTCAGTTATCTTATTGTAAAACTGGCAGTTATTACCCCCAGTAATAGTTGCAAAATAAAACTTACTTCCTATTTGTAAAAGGGGCCACAATTCACTAAGCAACTCACTGAGCTTGACTGACAAGCTTTTTGTATGTCATGTGCCTTTTTCCAATTTCTGAGAAAAGTCTTTTCTTTTATCCCCTAAGTGATGGGTATAAGCCCCACGCCCCCAAAATGTGATAGGACAGGAATGTAAACTGATTTATAAATTGTGATGCTCCAAGTGACAGCTTGTTACACCTCAGTACAGCTGTTTAGGGAAGTCCAGGTGTAATTTCTGGACTGATGTTATAGGGCAGCTTTCAACCTTGGACCTCAGTGCCCAGTTGAGAAGTGTAAGCACTATATTTGCTGTTATTTTTAATACTATGTGACAACTATTGGTTCACAACCAACATTTGAGACCACTTTTAAGGCGCCACCCATGCTCTGCTATGAAAGCATTTCTGAAGCACAATATTTTGGAGGCTTGGGTAGAAGCCATTCTTTCCCTCCCTGCAAAGTGGCTCTACACCCCACTAAAACAAGGTAAAACACCCACAAATCCCCTCTATCATGGACGGAGAGGTCACGAGTCAAGAGATGAAACAGCGACCCTGGAAGGGCCTGTATCTCAGTCCTGTGTGGTCATTTTGGCCCCTGAATAGTGAAGACCCACCCTGGCCAGGTAGCTCAGTTGATTAGTGTTGTCCTGATATACCAAGGTTTTGGGTTCAAGCCCCACTCAGGGCATACAAGAACCAACCAATCAAGGCATAAACAAGGGGAACAAATCAATGTTTCTCCTTCTCTCCCTCTCTAAAATAAATACATAAATAAGTGAAG